CCCCAAAACCCCAAAACCCCAAAACCCCAACTCCAATCCCCAAAACCCCAAAACCCCAAAACCCCTCAGATTTTGGCATTCATTGAGATTTTATTTGATTAAATTAAAATATCAGAAGCCTATAATGTCTGAATACTATTATGACCAAGAAATAAGGGTAAGCAGACCACCTCAGTTTCAGTCTGATTGTTCATATAGCCCTCGATAATGAGCAGAATCTCTGAAGTACAGGTTGAAGAGACTGTTGAGGAAATCCCGAGCTCAAGAGACACCTGTGACTACATTCAAAGCTCTATCAACGAAGATGTGGTTGTTCAAGGAGCTAATATTTATGACCGATACTTTCGAATAGGTAAATTTGGAAGAAATAAGCCCAATTCTTGAATTTTTATCCATCCTTATTGGGAATTTAGGTGGTAATAGAGAAAGTTTTAGCAGAATTCAACAAAAATCAAGAGGAAGTACTCCAGAAGAAGAGGTAAAATACAAATAATCTCTATAGCTTTCTGAAGATCTGTGATTTTCACCTAAGAAGCAAGTAGAAGATGCACTTGATACCCCAAAATCAGCCCTTTCATCAAATCATGACCTAAGCTTTGACCAAAACTATGAATACGATGAAACTCCCCAGATTATTAGGAAGAACGTCTCTCCATCTTGTGAGGAGAAAATAGAGTTTGAAGCTAGATCTCCCGAAGAGAAACTACATCATCCAAAGCCTGATTTTATTAATAGCAGCCTAACCAAAGATCAGAAGACTTCAGCACGGGAGTCTCCCCAGAGCTTGAAGAAGAAGATAACTAAACCTAAAAAGAAGAGGAAGAAGACTAAGAAGACCAAATCTCTAGTAAAAACCAGCACTTCAGGGTTCAGAAATGCTAAAATCCTAGATTCCCTGAGACCACAGAGCCCAGACACAAACCTAAGTAAATTTAGTAAACACATTTATTCAGCTGAGAAGAAGTTCCTTTCAGATGGGATCCTGAAGCAAGCTAAGAAATTGAAAGCGATGAAGACTCAACCAGCAAGCGCTAATAAGGCCACAAAGACGAAAAATAGCAAGAAGATAGACAGAAGTAGGCCAAAAGAGAGTACTGGGGTTTCTACCCTCAAGTTTACAACCCAAGATGGTCGCACAAGTATGAGATCCACATTTGACGCTGCCAGAGCAAGCATTACTGAAGGAAATGAAGACATGGGCATGTCTAGAAGCTCCTTCACAGGAGCTTCTAAGGGAAAAATGTCTATCCAACCTGATAATATTCATGCTATTCCTGAGAAAATGATCAAAAAGAGGAAGAAAAAGGGTAAAAAGAAGCGGAAACTTAGGCTTAAAAGACCTGGCACATCTACAGGTAGAGTCGGTAGGGACATGGCTGTGACTCCGAGCAGATCTACTATAATATACGACTTTAATGATTACGGGGATGAGATCATCAAGAAGGAGACTATCCATGAGTACCAAGAGAGGCCTTATTCCTCAAATAAAATTAAGAAGCACAGAAGAAATGCAACGAAGGTATTCAAAGACTGGGATACTCCAAAGTGAAGGAGGAACAGAGAGTTTAATAAAGTAATGAGAGATGCCTGGGATAATATCAACAATAAGGGGTACTTGAAGACCATTGATAATAGCCATACTACTCCAGAGCTATAGCTCAAATAAGTTATTTTAAGAAGTAAGTTCAATTCCGCCTCTTCAAAAAGGGGTTTTGGGGTTTTGGGGTTTTGGGGTTTTGGGG